TAGCAGTAGCAGTAGCTTGTTCACCAGTCGCTAGTAGTAGCAGTAGCTCGTTCACCAGTCACTAGTAGTAGTAGTAGCTCGTTCATCAGTCACTAGTAGTAGCAGTAGCTAGTAGTAGCAGTAGCTCGTTCACCAGTCACTAGTAGTAGCAGTAGCTTGTTCACCAGTCACTAGTAGTAGCAGTAGCTTGTTCACCAGTCACTAGCAGTAGCAGTAGCTCGTTCACCAGTCACTAGTAGTAGCAGTAGCTTGTTCGCCAGTGACTAGTAGTAGAAGCAGGAGCTAGCAGCAACACCCTGCACGCATGCGCAGCTTGTATCACGGTCGTCGGCCATTCAGTGCGACGTCGGCTTTGCTAAAAAGCGTCGTAAACACCATGATCCGACGATGCGATCTGCCGCTGCCGCTGCAACTTAACTCATCTATGTAGAGGGAGCGTTAGCAGCCCGCACGTTAATGGGCAACCTAACACACTGATGCTAGCGCACGGACCGACACATATATACACATATATATTCACGCACGCGTGCGCGCGCGGTTACGCTGCGTGGATATATATATATATATGGGTGAGCGGTANCACTGTACTATACAACACATTATTACTATACACAGCAACACATAATTTATTATACCAGCGTGTAAGTACTATATATATTTATTATACCGCCGGTGTACTATATTATAGCGTGTGTAAGCCTATTAGAATGCTATGGAGGCAAGGTAATCAGTAGCCAGGGCCGCCTATTCACTGGGGGCCAGGAATAGGCCTACCTCTGATTACTTTACCTCCATAGCATTCGAATAGGCTTACAGTACACACGGGTATCCATATATTTCAGGAAACATGAAAAAGAGAAAAGCTTCACATACAGATATTATGAGTTTTTTCACCAAGAGACCAAGAGCCACTGAAGATCATGCTTCAACGTCCGATGATCCTGTTCGTTTACAGCCGACGCCGAGTACGTCGCAGTTAACAGCTGATGTTCCCATCCCTACAACTAGGCCTACTTCTAGTGGTGATGAGCAGGTTCCCTTGACGGCTGCTGGTGATGAGCAGGTTCCAGTGACGACTCCAACTGCTGGTGAGCAGGTTCCCTTGACGACTGCTGATGATGAGCGGGTTCCAATGACGACTCCAACTGCTGGTGAGCAGGTTCCCTTGACGACTGCTGATGATGAGCAGGTTCCAGTGACGACTGCTGCTCAGCAGGTTGGTGATAAGCAGATTCCGGATAATGATGTAGGAAAGTTTCAGAGGTCAGAACTATGTAACGATGACAAACTAAAGTTAATGAAAAATCATTTCCGACCTGGTAACAAGTTCGACTTCCCCGTGAGGCAACATAAGTGTAAAACCTTGAAGTTCAAATTATGTTGGCTTGATGATTTTCCATGGCTTGTTTATTCCAAAGTCAAGAATGGTGGATACTGTCTACCATGTGTACTCTTTGCAACCAAGCCAGAGGGTAGAGGCTGTGAGTTTGGTGTTCTCATCAAAAAGTCATTTATTGATTTCCGCAAGGCTCTCGGCAAAAAGGACGGAATTTTGCCCAATCACGAAACCAACGCTTTCCACAAACTGGCAGTTGCAGCTTTTGCTGAAAGGAAGCACGTTGAAGAGAACCCTGCCGTTCGAATTGATATCCAACTAGAAAAACTTAAACAAAATAGGTATAGCAGTAATAAAGCCGCACTTGGTAGTATTATAGAATGCATTATATACTTGGGACGCCAAGGGTTAGCCTTTCGTGGTCACCGTGATACTTCCACCGCTGATCCCGATACCAACAAGGGGAACCTTCAAGAACTTGTCCAATTTCGTGCCAAAACAGATGATATCCTAAGAAGTTTCATTAAGTCCTGCCCGAAAAATGCCACATATGTTTCTAATACGACTCAGAACGAGGTGTTGGAGATATTGGGTGATGTCATTCGGGAATCGCTCACAGCTAACATAACTGAGGAACGTTGCCCATTTTTCAGCATTATTGCAGATGAACTTACTGATGACATTGCCAACAAGCATATCCTGTCTCTTTGCATACGGTTTCTAGAATACGTGGATGGGAAGGTTTCAGACATTCAAGAAGGACTATTAGATTTTTCCTATACCGAACGGGGAACAGCAGCACACCTAGTAAAAATGCTTCGTTCAAAACTTGTTGACTGTGGACTTAACCATTTAAATGTGCACAGACAGTCATATAATACCACATCTTGCATGTCTTCGGACAATCAGGGAGTTCAGGGCATATTCCGCAGGGAAGTCCCAAGAGCAGTTTATACGCCATGCAACAGTCATAAGTTGAACTTGGTTATTGCGTCAGCTTCAAAATTGCCCCAGATTCGCAACTGCGTAACAGCTGTTAACGATGCGTTCTTGTTTTTTAATTTGTCCCACAAACGCCAGGGATTTTTCGAGAAAGTCATGATGATTCTTCATACCAAGGAAGGTCAGAATCTTCAACGACAGAAAAAACTTAAAGGTCTGTGTAAGACAAGATGGGTGGAAAGGTTTGAGGCCTTTGACAATTTCATTGACATGGCCCCATTGTTCATGACCACGTGCGACATTATTGTCAACCCTCATCTTTACGGAAACGATGCAGAGATCAGTGCCCTAATCGAAGAGAAATGGAGCTGGGATAGAGAAACGAAGACAAAGGCTCAAGGCATACTTGCAAACTTCAGGGAATTCGAGACCATTGTATCACTCATTGTTTTGAGGAACGTTTTGGCACCACTAAGGGAAATTACAATCAAGTTGCAGCAGCGAGATCTTGACGTCCGGACCGCGTATTCGTTGCTATCGTCCGTAAAGGAAGATGTGGGTAGAATGAGAGCAGAAGTTGATGACAGATTCGATGGGTGGTATGTAGAGATAAAGAAAATCGCTGGACAACTCGAGGCAGAGGAACGAACGCGTCGCCGGGCGATATCAAATGCCTTCAGAGCAACACACCCAGCTGATGATCCGAAGGAGTATTTCAAACGGGCGATAGTGATACCTTTCATCGATGATGTCAATACCCAACTAGCTGATCGATTCTCTGATCAATCCGTCTCCGTTGTTTCAGGATTTATGTCCTTGATACCGTCAGTCATAGCGAAGATGGACGTGAAGGAGATCCCAACAGTTGTGGACAAACTTTCTGACTATGAGCCGGATATTGATCGTCTTGCTAGTTTACAGACTGAGCTAGAGATCTGGCGTGGCAGGTGGATAGATTCGGAAAACACACCAGATTCTCTCCTCACTTCACTTAAATGTTGCCCGAAGGACCTGTTTCCAAATCTTCATACTTTACTCCAACTTGGTTGTTTGATACCAGTCACCAGCTGTGAAGCGGAACGATCATTTTCTGCTGTTCGTCGCATCAAGACGACTTTGCGATCAACAATGAGAGAGGAACGCCTGAGTGCCCTAGTGTTACTCAATACATACAGAAGAGTAAACATCAACGTTGAAGACATTGTAAAACGGTTTATTCTCGAGGCAACGCAGAATTTGTTTTAATTTGTATGAATAAGTCATGTCGAAGTTTGAAATTTTCTTTTATTAAAAGTTTTATTTTCTTTTAAAATAATAAAATTGTCTAAGATGTTAATGCACCAGACAAAAATGGCATTGATGCACATATCAAGATGAAGTTATTGTGGTGTCAGATGCGAGGAAAACGCATCTGAGGGGGTCTAATTTCAAAAATTTTCTGGGGGAGGGTCCCCCAAGACCCCCCCTTCGCGTGCTCGCAAGTTTGCGTTACGGTTAGACCCCCCCTGGTACAAATCCTGTACACGCCCCTCAGTATTGAGGTATATTCTTGTTGTATATGCCTCTTTCTGTACAAATTGATGAATTTATCGTGATTATAATTTAACTTTAAAATAGCACAGATCGAATGACACTTGTAAAGGCCACATATAGAACTAGACAGAGGGCACTCACGGAGAGTGCATACCTCCGCGAGCATGTAACATGTATGTGTTACGAGCTGGCTCGCCGCTCGCTGCTGGCTGCTGCTGACTCGCCGCTCGCTGGTGGCGGCTGCTGACTCGCTGCTCGCTGGTGGTTGCTGCTGACTCACTCGCCGCTCGCTGACTCGACGCGCTATCGATCGCGCCGCGCGAGCTGGACACACACACACACACACACACACACAACCGATTACATTACCTCCCCTGCAACTCCGTTGCGCGGAGGTAATAAAAGTTCATAGATCTATTAGGCCTACCCAGCCGGCCAAGTCGACACGTGCCGTATTCAACACGCGTTGGAAACGATGGAAAAACACGCGTTTTATCATGGAGTTCTAAACACGCATTTTCAACGTGCCGTTCTTCAAGTAATCGCGACGTATAGGGTACACAAGCATGCATGCATGCAGTTCAAAACACGCGTATTAATCTTCTAAATTACGCATGTCCTAAAAAGGCAACTAGAGTACACATGTAGCGATAAACATCATTAATCCTTCACTGTGTTTGTTGGTTTGTGGGTTTGTGTACAGCCTAACTCAAAAAGTTATGGACGGATTGTCATAAAATTTTCCGGATAGGTCACAGGGTTTGGCTGTAGCATTGTAATTCAGGGCTCACTTTGCAATCATACGCGTCAGACTGCCACAACGCCCGACATGACTCCCTTGAAAGCCACTGTGCTGATCTGGGTCCATGTTAAGTCGAGTGCCTCCACTTGAGCCCAGGTGTGACGAAGCGTGGCTCATGCTCGCACTTATTTCACCACCCATCAGGCTGAATCCCCACCTCACCGTCTTCCTTGCTACGGTTTGGCCGCGGCCGGCATCACTGTCCAGAGATCCCCGGGCGACATCGCCGCCAGACCGTGGGGATCTCGAGCGTACGCAGCGACGTACGTCCCAGCTCGGCCTTGATCTGGTAAGCCCGAAACGACGCCTCCTGCCAAAGGCCGAGGCGGTCGTTGCCCTCACTTGATTCACCGCGCGACGCAGGATCGGAAAGCGTCACAGTGGCCCGCGGTGCATCCCTGCCCTTCCTTTTTCCTCTTCCTTTCCTTCTTCTCTTTTTTCCTCTTGGGTTTCGTCTAGGCGGTCTGTCTCTAATGCCATTGCCGAAGCTCTCAACTATTGCCTCATCTCCGCGATCCCTTGTCTTGCCCATTTCGCTTTGCCTGGCCCAGCTTCTCCTTGAACTCTTCTCTCCGCGTGTTTCTGCGGGCTCTGCATCTCCTCGACTCCATCGATTTAAATCCTGCTCTCCTTTCCGGATCACTCCGACAAATTCGAGTTTGGGTGGCGAACTGATTCTTATGAATTCCGGGTGAGTTTTTTTCGGGTCGGGAGCCCTCATATTGGGGGTCGAGGTTCATTGTTACTCGGTCAGTCATTTCGGAGGCGAACACTTTGCTTGGACGAGGCATTGCGTTGCCTCCTTGCCGTTTTGCGAGCGTATGCTATTTTTATGCCACTTGATGTCCGTCGGCCGGCCGCTTCGCTGCACTGTGACTGACTTCGCTTAGATCACAACCGCCTTGATGCAACGCTTTTTCCTCCTCTGGTAATGGAGTTTGCTCTTCCACCCCCCGCCTATAAAACGTACACGAACCCCGCGCCCAGTAAATCCCGCCCGATAGCTCCGAAGTTTGGCTCAAATGCTGTAAGCTACGCGGACTAATCCATAGAACTGCCGTCGTTCCTCCTAGAACCCCCTGGCTGCGTAATCTGTTTGTAATGTAGCCGCCACCCTTCCTTCCATCCCTCCCATTTGCTGTCCGCTGTGCCATCTCCTCAAGCTGTTGTTCCATACCCTCGCCTTTGCACTGCCTGCCCTCGCTCACCCGCAGGTTGCTGCTGAAATGCTGTTGTTGCATCCTGTTGTACCCTAGCTGGTGCTGCAGTACTCGCAGCAGTTCGCTGTATGCTGACATATTTTCGCAAGTACGGTATCTACTCTTCACGCAAACCCTCAGTGCTTTAGAGCACAGACTCTGTGATCCCTTATCTTGCTCGTTGTAGCTTAATTAAACCTCCAACACCCTCAGAACGTCATGACTACATGGTGGTCTAGACAACCAAATCCCAATCCCATCTCGTCGCCCCACAGAAATACTGGTTGTATTTCTAGAAGGATAAGTCGTAAGAGCTGAACGTATAATATTGGTATAACTCAACAAAGGATTTATTTCCAGCCCACTCTCCCACCTCCCCCTCACAGCCTGCCACGTAGTAGAGTGACCACATCCAAGTACATGGCTTTCCAACGGAAATTAGTATGTGCGCACACTTCTATGGGTCCACTAATGATATCGGACCACAATGCATACAATCAATGTCAAATATCTTTAATCGCAAAACTTGATCTTAACGTCTATATTACGAGTCTAAAGCATCCTACAAAACATGTTCTCATTATCTGGTTAACGCCATTTCAAGCATAACCTATTTATTACAAGCGCCATCGCTAACACTTCTCAAGCGGGTATTAAGCGTGCCATCTACCGGTTCACAAATCTGTGATCTCCAATTGTTTGGTCTTATAACACCTTTATTATCCTCGTCGTATATTTACAGATACTGTCAATCGTTTTCTATAATGTATCGTCGATGGTTCTGCTCAATTAAATATCTGGACTTCTCTTACTCGCTTTCATTTGTGTTCCTTTTTTTTTGTGGTTGATTCTAACACGCGCTGTCTCATTGACTTATCTCATTACATTCTTTGTAATGCTTTAATTGAGATTCTTCATACTATGCAAGTTCAGTTGCTCTATTCTGTATGTTAATAAAAATTAGTCATTCTGACTAAAATGTCTCCAAATTTTTTATCATGTTGTCATCTTTCTATTGTTGCCAATGTTTTTACCAGCAGTGAACCCGCATTCTAGGACATCAAGTGGCAATCTAGCCCGTAGGCCGCCCCGCCCCAAAGTTCAATGTATCAAGTGTTTCTTAATGCATATTTTCACATGCAATATCAAGTCCAAGACTCTACATTACATGCCACGGGCCAGGGTTTGGAATGCTTAGAAGGTAAATGAATATATCGAAGTACATCCTATGTATCACGCTGTTGAGTGGAATGTCTTCAATCGACCGCTTCTTCTCCCTTCCCTTCAGGTTAAAATGGGACCAAAGATGGTAAGTTTCCAACTTTTACATCATTCTCCGGATGGTAAGTTTCCAACTTTCACATCATTCTCCGATGGTGTTTCCCACATCATGCACCAATAGCACTCAATAAAGTCACCCTATCAAAACAGAAAATATATATGCAGACTAGTTTTTATTCTATTAAAATCATATGTAAATTTGCTGATATAACAATATTGGTTAAGTTTTACTTTAATAGTTATCTACCATATTTACTGCATTTGCTTTCATAGAGCATAGTTTGAAAAAGAGACCTGAGGGTCAAAATAGCATATAGTGGATGGGCCTAGATACAGCAGTGATTATTTCGCCAATGTAACAGTGGCCTGTGCTCAGTCATTGGCATCTCATCACTATAAATATAACTTACCAATTTCTTTCTTAGACCTGGATCTGCCAGCTTTTCGCAAAACCTGTCTAGCTCTTCAGTTGATGTTAGAGGCTTCTCCACGCAATTCCGCTCATGATACACAAAGTCCAACGATCCACATCCACTGCCGATCCCTTGGCCAGGATTTCAGTAAAACCGATGAAAAATGATAAGTGTATTAACGGACTGTTACTACATGGCCTACTGTCCTAATATTCTTCCTCGAGAAACAAATTTGTTCACAATTGTGAATGCTAGTGTTGCTTGAGAAAGCAAAATATCACTCACTTTCTAGCACGACGTTTCCAAGCTCGGTACGTCTCCTACTGTCAGGCACAATGTCTCTCCGTGCAGAGCTCCTACAATCTGGAATGTTTCTTTGCTCGGCTCTCGTTGGCGTGATTTGTACAGTGCCTGTGCCTAAAACATGTAAAACCATGCAAACTAACTGGTCATAGGATAAAATTCTGACAGGGCAAGTTGCAAGATAAATTATATACAGATGAATTTTTGTAGGCTCTTCACACACTACAACAGAAATAATTGTGAACATGAAATTCATATTTATTATGAAATAGTGTAAAAATATTAAATAACTTGCCATAGGTCATCTTTTGATTGAATTTAAGGGGTCATTAAACCTTCAACGATTAACACCGTAGTTTAAAAAAAGTAAAGTAAATGTACACGGGTTTTCCAATAAAGGGATTCCACGACCCCGACATTCAAATAAGTATAAGTATTATTACCTCTGCCCACGGAGTGGAGGACCTTATGTGATCGCTCTCGTGTAGTGTGTTCGGACTGTGTTAGTGTGTTCAGTGTGTTTGCGCGATCGTATAGTTTAGCGCATCAACTCAACCAGCACACCCGCCAGCAGCAGCGAGACAGCGCAGCGAGCAGCGCAGCCGAGTCAGCGCAGCGAGCCACGCTTGTAAAGGTCCGGCGTCACACGCAAGCCGGATTTTCCACTGTGGCGATTTGTATCGTCTCCCCTGATAAAAATCAGACCCGATACTC